AAGTACTAGGCAAAACTGGGTCATATTGTATGTATCCAGCCACTGCAGTGTATAAATCATAACTTATGTCATAGCATTTTGTGTGAAGGCCCCAGGGTTCCAAAAAAAAAAGGCTTGTCTTCATGTAGTATAGCAATCCAGCCAATATTTAATGCATATATAGGAATATCTATGAAAGGGAAATGGGTGTAAGAGAAAATTGCTTCAAGATTATGTTTACATGATATATTATTTCCTGCATGCTAATCTGCAGAATTAACTTGGCAGTGTGAAAATAAAATAAAATATGTCTTTGCCTACTAGCAGGGAAAAAAACTCTTCAGAATGGGGAAAAATAATTAAAATAATTTTGACCTACATCAAAGTATACATAAATTTCTATGACAGAAAATTTATTTCATATTTGGTAGCAAATATATACATATCCAAGATGCTTTATTTAGAAAAAGTAAGCTATACATAATGGAATACCTTCTTTAAAAACTGGAAGCATTACATTCACTTATGTTCTATACTTAAGTAGAGGCTCTGGAGAAATACTACCAGTATAGAGGAAAAAAAGCATACAGCAAAATATTCTAAAACAAAAATTATGGAGGGGTTGTTGGTCCCCCCACAAGGACTAAGATGCTGCAAACATCATTGTAGACAAAAATAAATACCTAGTCCATATTTTGTGTTTCAGATATCTTGGGATGGTATTCCAAACCAAATCCATCTCCCAATTATATGGCTCACAGGCATATACACATAGGAACTTACAATTGTCGGCCGTGACCAGGGGGGCGTTTTATCAGGTTCGCCTGATCTACCAGTTGCGCCCTTTTCTGGACCGGGACGCTTTACGCACAGTCACTCAAGCCCTCGTCACCTCCCGCCTGGACTACTGTAATGCTCTATACATGGGGCTCCCTATGAGGAGCATCCGGAGGCTTCAGCTGGTCCAGAATGCGGCCGCGCGGGNGGTCTGACCTAGGGTGAATTTTAAATAGGGACAATTTTAAGGATTTTATCAAGACACAGCGACAAATATTTGGTTTTTAATTGGCTTTTAGAGGGGAAATGTTTTATATTGTTTTAATATGCTGTGAGCCGCCCTGAGTCCCATGGGGAGAAGGGCGGCATATAAGTTGAAATATAAATAAATAAATAAATAAATAAATAAATAAATAAATTATCCAATCCAGATTTCTAAGAGTGCTATTCCATGAAGCTTTCTGCATTTTAAATGCAGCAACCTGTTTAGAAAGTGGGATGAGCCCCCTGAGATTTAAGATCTGCATACGCCCGCTCTACTTCTGTCTCAAGCTTTATTTTTCTAGTGATTCCTTGGCCACCATGATTCTTCTAGAGCTTTTCCCTCTTTCTGGAAAACTAAAATTCAGACTGATCCATGCTTCTTGTGCCAAGGTCTTCTGGCCATGGGACCTATCAAAAACTAGAGCTGCCATTTGGCAGTGGGTGTTTCAGAGAGCTCACCAGGTACAGCAGGGTGTTCCAGGCAATTACTACTGACAGGATATAAATAGAAACCCTTTTGTGCCAACAAATTACCCATTCAGTACTACTTGCTAAAAGTACTGTAAAGTTCTTTCTTTAGCCCATTTCATGGTCTTGCTCCCTATGATACAGGAGGAAAGATATAACAATACCGTTTGCAGAGTGAACCTGCTTAAGACATGAACAAACCTGAGACTGCAGGCTACAGTATGTATTTCTTCTATGTCCTTTCTAACATAAAGTTTACCCTAGCTTTGCTTGTTCATAGAAGTCCAACCTGTTCTGAGAATGATTTCAAGTGGGGTTTTTTTTACTATCTGACTGAGACCTTAACATCTCTAGCGAAGTCACAAAATTTCTTTCAGCTGCCAGTGCTTTACAAAGGAAACCATTTTTCTCCTTATAGGACTTTATGGATATACGAAGTGTCCTTCTGCTACTTATCCAGTTTTATGGACCGCATCAACCTCTTCACTAATAAATTTCATAATTTGACATTTTTAGTATTTCAGTATTTTATTTACAAAGCTATTTTATCATTCAAATCATTTTAAACATTTTAATATTCTACTTTTAGACATCTATTTACTGTGTATTTTAGTTTGATCCATTTTATGTCCATCAATTATTCAGTAAATGTTTATGTATCTTAATTTGAGCTCAATAACCCTTTCCCAAAACTGCATAAAATACTGGTTAGTGACTACAATAAAAATACTATTACTATAAATAATTGAATCCATATGTAAATAGTCAATTTTAATTATATTAGAAAGGGATGAAAAATGAGCAAAAGATGATTGCAAATTACATTTCAAAGCCTTAATAAAAACAGGGATATATAGCTACTATCAAAGCAATTGCTGGACATACATTTCTGGGCACATTATGCTCATACAATCATGTGATTTTAATAAGACTGAAACTGGTGAATAAAAGTGATGATATTTAAGTACTTATTTTCTCATAATCTGAGCATTTGCTAAGATGGCCCATTTTGTTGACACAGCTCATTGTAACTGCTATGTCTGGAAATGTTTGAATATTTTCTTTATAACCTTCACAACCCTTTATATCAAAAAGGATAATTTTCCTAGCAATACACTGAATATATTCATACACACACACACACATTTAGTTTCAATTTTAAACGAGTCAGCTAGATTTGATTCAGTGATTTGCCATTGGAATTCTTGGTGTGAATCTGTTGAAATCAATAATAAATAAAAAAATATTTCATGAAATTTTAAGAACATTCAAACCAACCATAGTTTTTTAAATCATTAAATTTTCAGATTATGAACTGCATATTAACAAATTGAGCAATTAAAAAAGCTCAGAATGTTTGAATGCAGTACAATTATTAGAAGTAATTTAGAATGTCAGAAAAATGTCCCACATGTGATTTTCAGTTTAGGCTGGAAACCCTAATATGCTATATCAAAAGAATAATTAATTCATTAATTATTCCCTAAATATATTTATTTTATAGCAGTCTGTCTTATATAAAGGTAGTTTGCCAGTTTCTGGAGAAAATCATGGTTCTGTCTTGATTTGAACTGGGTAATTGTCCGCTGTCTTTAATGAGCTGCTATTGATCTCTTGGTGGTTTTAGAAGTACTAGTAGAAATAATGAGGCATATATAGTTATTCATTTGCAGAACTAGGCAATCTTTGTTCCTTCTAAAGCTCTTTCACATTCTGTATTTTCTATCCATGAATATAGTGCTGATTTTTACCTTAGAGATCTGGATTCAAATGTCACTGCATTTCTTTATGCAACCAAGTACTTCGTAAAATAGCTTTCTAGTGTAGATGTTAGTATTTGTACTGAGAAAGTACTTTTTATGCTGTGGGTGGGTGACAATGGAAAAACCAAGTCATTTTGCTTAAAATTTTGGCAAATTGGGGAGAAGTAGAACTTGGAAGCAACTGCCTGCAAGTCAAGATTTTTTTTATAGAGATTCTTGAGAAAGTCTTTACATATTAATCTACTTTACAGGTTTTAAGGACTGCATCTTAAACATTGTCTCAAAGTAGACATTGTCTGTGATAGAAGAAGTAGGTTGTTTAGCAATCTAGGAGCTTCGGCTTGAAGTAATGGTTTGTTCATGGAGTCACAAGATAAAAGTGAATGGGAATATCTATGTAGGTTTCTGTGGATTCCATCAATTCAAATACTCCAATGTGCACAGAATATAACTGCCCTAATAGTAAATGCAATACAAATGAGCACTGTTTTTATTCAGTTTTATAACTGGGGAAGTTGCTGGGAACTCACAATAAAGTTGGTAAGTTGGTTATGGACAAAAAAACATTAAAGAACAAAGCCAGCTAACACTCACTCCACCGTTCCCCAGAATGATCTCAAGCAGATCAAGTTCAGAGATTTTTGCTAATGAACCGGTAGGTCAATATGGAAGGATGCATGGAAACAAGTCATTTGATTCACAAAATCCAATTTTTGGAAAGCCTTTAATAAGTATTTTTATTCCACATTAAAGGAAATGCAGCACTATTCCCTAAGATCAGTGAAGCAGAAATAAGTAAATGCTGTGAAGCCATTATGAGCACCATCATATGGAATCTTCTTGGTAGCAATACATGAGTGATTGTCGCTGTTGCTGTAATGGTCTTTAATCTTAAGGTGATTAAAAATAATTCTAGTTCTATCATCCTGAGATTTCTTAGTCAATTTCCCATTCCCGCCCTGCTTAGTTTTGGAGGGAACATTTAAGGAAAGCCACATGTTGCCACCCTGTTGGCTTACAAAGGATAAATAAAAAACAAAAATCTTCATAAAGAAAAAAAATGATAAAGTTTCCTTCAAGTTCAGTTCCCTTCCTGGTGATTTCATGGACAGGTTTTTTTAGCTTTCTTGGTGCCAAAATGGAAATGGTTTTGATTCCTTTACTTTGGGTTTTGTGCTAATGTTAAAAGGATGGATAGGCCTAGCAACAGTTGTTCACCACGATAGCTAAATTCAAAGGCAATGTATTCTATCAAGTGTTGGCATGCAGTTGTGGTTTACATTTGACTTGTGTAATTCTCAGAAACCTCTAGTTTGCAAATCAGAAAAAGGGGTTGAACTGAATGGAAGTTGGGTCTGGCAGGATGCGTACCAGGTGCGCCTCTCAATTGCCAGGGTCCTGGGAAAGCTTTGAAAACAATTTTGCATGGTAAAATATAGCTGCGGCTCCCCTCCCCACCAAGCGTTGTATAATCCAGGTGGAGACTAGCCGCCTGTGTGCGTGAGTGAGCTGGGGAGAAGATGCAAAGGAGGAGGAAGGCAGCCAACTCGGAGACAAACCCGCTCGCCTGATCTTCTCCTCCGCCTGCCTTCGCTCCATTGCAGCGCCTTGGAGACAAAGAGCCTCCCACAATCCGCCCCTTTCCTGATTGCACCGCAACTGCAAGCCCCTTTCTGGACCAGGGATCTTCCTCCCCGCCCCCTCGGCCGGCTCCTCTGTGCCTGCAAGGCGAGGCGGATCAGGCGCAAGATGGCTTTAGCTGGCGTTTGCATCTGGCTTTCTTGCTGCTGCTGCCTCACGGCCGCCGCCGCTAATGCAGCCGCTGCTGCTGCTGCTGCCGCCGCCGCAGCCGCCGGCCCCGCGGCTGCCGGGCCGGCTGAAGCAGACGGGGACCCTTCCAAGGAGATGGAGTGCAAGCTGAAGAGCATCACCGTGTCAGCGTTGCCCTTCTTGAGGGAGAACGACCTAAGCATCATGCACAGCCCCTCGGCCTCTGAGCCCAAGCTGCTCTTCTCGGTCCGCAATGATTTCCCCGGCGAGCTGGTGGTGGTCGATGACTTGGAGAACACCGAGCTGCCCTACTTCGTGCTGGGTGAGTCCCCCCTCCCTCCTCCCTCCGGCCTAGTTGCCCCTTCTCTTAATTTAACAGGCCCGGTCCCCAAACTCTTCCGGGTCTTCTCTGGATTCTGGCGCTCTGAGATCCCAAGTGATGACCATTCCAAGTTGGCAATCAGGTTGATTCTTTCCCCCCCCCCCCGGCCTTTTGTGTCAATGAGGCGGCCGCGGGCCCGCTGTCCCCTGGCTGAGAGGCCCTCCGTGGCCCGCTTTCCCCAAGCCTAGGAGACGAGGAGAGAAAGGGAAGCAGCGCTGGCTGCGGTTGCTACAAACTGGCTCCATAGCTCGCTCACTTCGGCAGACTGCACCCTCCGTGCCCTTTCTCCAGTCGTCCGGCGGAGTGAGAGAGGGAGCCGGTAGGTGGGCGCACGCAGGTGGTAGCTGGAAGACTCGAGCGGGCGGTCTGGACTCCAGAGCAACCGCTGCCCCTGCCTCGGTTTTCCTGGAGTGGGTAGCATTTGGGAGAGGCTACGCTGGGCCCAGCCTTACTGCGCGTTGCTTAGAGAAAGAAGGGGTGAACAAGTGGAGAGATACTACTCCTGCTCCTGGCGATCACCTTTATTATTCGCTTGTTTAACCGAGTGATAGGAAGCTGCGAGGGAGATTGCCTGAGCAGGCTCTTTGCCTCCGTGCGCACAGCAGGTGGAGCTGTGGGGGTGAGGACCTGCGATGTCACTGTTGCTCCTTGCTCATCAGAATGAGCTCCGAAGAGGATGACAAGGAGTCACCTGAAACTGCTTGCATGCTCACTCAAACATAAACTACTCAAGTCCACTTGGCCTTGTTCTATTTTATATAAACCCAACCTCTGTGATTACTTTCTGGATCAGTGTGTCATGTAAAACTCAGAAATGGGTTATCTATAGGTAACCTCATAAGAATACAGCCACTATCTCCATTTTCTCATTAAGGTGGCAGATAGAACTAAGTTTATCCAAGCAGACTGGATATTGCAGGATGTGAAATGAATGGAAGTAATCAAAATTTCAGTATATTTTCATGTTTGGGATCTTTACTGTTATTAAGTTTTTGCTGTATCAGTTTAACTTTTTGTTCATTAGTGGAACATTGTTTTGATGTCTTCTTGGGAGCGGATGCTGTTGGATAATGACAATCCAATGACATGCATTTCCTGCATTTTGTTCTAAAGTATAGGCACTTCCCTTCAGAAATTACCAATGATTGATCAAAGCTGATATAGTCAGATAACATTTAATCCCCAAGTTAGGGGGTGGAGTGGGGTGGTCAAAGAAGCATGTTTACACATCATGGCTATATGTAGAGTAAACATGAAGAATTGCTTATATTCCAGAAGAGGAGGAATTGGAATAAGGCTATTTAAAACAAGAACTGGGGCTGAGATACGCCCATCACTTGACATTTGTTGGGTTGCTAGGAAATTCTGATTAAGGACCATGATCTTACTCAATGGGTCAAATAGTGAGCAGTAATGGACCCATATGGAATTGGGCCCATTTAGGTAATTAAATCCAATCTAGGTTTCAGTAGAGAGATACCAATCAATGCATCCCCTCAGTATTCCTAGTTGAATTGCTTTGAGGATAAATCTCAGTGAGAGAGGTAGGATAAATAAGTATGAATGGCTCCACCATTGAAACTACATTGGCTTGCTTTTGGCAAAAGTGTAGGAAGGGCACATATTGTCATTAAACTGATGGTTATAATAGCCAGGCATAGAGGCAGCACATACTCTAGCACCCTAGACCTAGAGGGTTAGTTGTGGCTCATTTTCTTCACTAACAGCTGGCATAAAGCTAGGGCTGGGGAATGATCCTGAGCTAACCTTTGTTGCCCAACTATTATTATATTATGTATTGATTTAATGAAGCATTTAGTATTTGCACTCATTGTTCATTCCAAAGGTGTCTCACTCTCAGTACAGAATCTTAAAACCAGATAATTAAAATGTGATGACAGTTACAGTCACATTAAACATAGGTTTATGAAATAAAAATATTTTATTTATGCCAATGAAACAGATTTGGTACCAAATATCTTTTGGTAAAAGAGTTCCAGAGTCAAGGTCCCATCCCAGAAAAATAGCCTGATCGGTGTCCCTTAAGTTTTATTTTCTTTGTCTTGCAGCAACATGCATGTGTCCTGATCCTTGATTACATCTTTTTGGAAATAATTTCTTTCTTGCAGTAGCTATGCATCCTGGTGAGCAAATTGATCAAATGTGAACAAATTTATTAAGTTTCAGAGTTTAGGGGTGGGGTTTTTTTGCCTTTGGGGTTTTTGGTTCCCCTAGAAATTTAGAAAAGGGGTCTTGAGATTCAACAGAAAAGAAAGGCTCAACGTCTACTATTTCCTCCAATTTCTTCATCCAAATTTCAGTATGGGCTATGTTGATTGTACTGCTGGAAATTTTATTCAGGAATATCTAGGGGTCTGAAAGTTTTTTACCCTCCCTCTTTAATGGCGTACATTTCCATCCCAATTCTACAGGATCTATCCATTTTCTACTTGACAAACCCCCCTCTTTGCACTCATGTCAGCAAAAAAAGTAGAAGGTGGTATTACACAGGAAATGTAAAAGAAGGGAAGACTTGATATAGTTGTCCTTTGCTATATTGTAGTCCCAAAGGAACAGTGTCCCTCCCATCCCTCTGGTTTAAAATTAGCCTTGGAAGAGAAATCTTATTCAGTGCTGCTGGGCTGAAAGAAGCTTCCTGTGTCCAGAATATTTTATGCAGTTGTGTGCCACCTATGGCACACCTATGCAGTGCTTTTTTTGTAAAAAAAAAAAAAAAAAAAGGTGCCGGAACTCACACACATCATACAACCCGCCTTGCCTATCCTACAAGGTTCCATCCAAAACTGCCGGAACTCTGTTCTGGGCGTTCTATGACAAAAAAAAAGCCCTGGCTATATGTGTCTTCCTTTTCTTGGTTCACTCATTTGGATGTATGATGGTGCCAGATATGGAAAAGTGGTGGAGGCTGGGTTAAGAGGAACTACTACATCAACCAAATCATGTCCTTTACTACACTTTATGACATAGAAGAGATGGCCAATCAAAGCCAAAGAGGGGAAAAAATCTCAGGTATACTGATAATGTGACCTAAATTAAAAAGATAAAGGTTATATGCAATGTATAATAGAAAAATTGGAGAAGAAAAAGAGGGCAACAATTTTCTTTCCACCTTTTCTTACAAAAGAATAGATTCAAAGGTGAACAAAAGAAATATATATCATGTGTATTTTACTTTAATAATCTATGTTAAATATCTTCTTACATCCTGTCAGCAATGAACCTGTGTAATGAAACTTGATACATAAAATTTGTGATGTGTATCCTTAATTATTACCTGACATCCTATACAACTGCAAAACATTTCCATAGAAATTCTCCTGGGCAATCTTTCATTTAATATCTGGTTATCTAGCCCATCAAATAGATGAGGTATGTTTTACACAGGATTGGTTCCTTGAAAGTAGGGAGTTGAAAAACATCAAGTTTTTTTTTCCCAATGCATACAACATAAATTGTTCCAGATTTCTTTCCCATATTTTTTTCTGTGTGACTCACTGATAGGGTATCATATAGAACTTATACTGTATTATTGATGTTGTGTTTGTTATGTTTTTGAAACTTGATTCTAAATGTTATTTCATATGACACATAATGGTGAGGCAAGGCACCAATCTTCATGACAGATCTGGAACTGAAGCTAATTGCAACCTTCTTGCAAATGCTATTTTTTACCACTGTACTGAAGAAAAAGAAGTGTTCTGTTTTAGAATCTGCTGCTTTGCATTATTGGGATAAGTAGCAGAAAGTTAGATTTTTCTTATCTTCTCACTCTGCTAGAGAGAATGGTCTATAAGTAATAAAACAATATCCAAATAAACAATAATATTATGTCTGTGTTCTTCACAATGTAGTAAAACATTGAGTAAACTATGCCATTCCATTAATTTACAGAATGGATTGTTTTCTTTTTAAAGGATAAAGTTGCCATTCAGTTATGTAATTAGCCATTTGATATCTAACAATCAAACTACATGTGATGCTGAGATGTGTGCGTGCTAAAAATAAAATAGAGTACGGTAATAGAGACAATAATAATAATAGAGGAATAAAAATTCCCTGGTGACAAGATATTCTATTAACTTACCTTGTGTTTCCTTCAAGGAGGTGAATTTTAGCATTTTAAGCATTTTAACCTTACATCAATTTTGAAGCCTTAATAAGAGAAAGTACCTTTTTTTCTCAAAGTCACAATAGATATGAGCTTAGAATTCCCATATTGAAAGCTAGACCTGCACCATGCTAGGTTGATTCTTTGTTTGAGTGGCATTAAAATGTAGTGCCCAATAGGGTAACTGTATAAGTGTGCGTTTTACCATCAAAATATATTGCATATCTAAATAAATAATTGCATTTGAGTTTGAAAAGATTATTAAATTCCAATGGTTGTTACATTATTTTTTTATGGTACCCATGCATTCTCCCCACTCAGATGGTCAATAATTTAATTCTCCCATTCGGCAAACTATTACTAGCAATTCAGTAATTGATATGCAGCTCATCTTCAGCCTTCAAGACTTAGCTGTCCATCAAAATTTCAGTACTGTCTGCATGAGTCTTGCCTTTTGCATGAAAATTATATAAAGATCTGTAGGACAGAATTTTATTTTTTCAGTGAGTGCAACCATATACACTCCCTCCCCACTTTACAGTTCTTCTATTAAAATGCTATCAATTTGGATATATTCCCATTACTTTAAATTCACATGGCATACTTACTACGTTCATTTAATATTTTTCTGTTACCTATTTATCCATGTCAGGTTCTTACTGAAATAGTCTCTAGCACTGCAGGTTATATGACTGACTGATTTTTCACATGAAATATTTCTCTGAATATAGAAAATTACTACACCATGGAAAAGTGCTCTACCTATCTGACAGGCATCTTCTTTATTTAAAGGCTTAACATGTCAATTGTT